AACGAGGAGTTGGCTGGCACTCCGGGGCAATTCTCGGAGACTGAAACAACAGACCCGGTCGTACAAGCGCCTGATTCAGGGTCTGTGGAACCTCAGTTAGAAGCCCCGCCAAACGAGCCTATCGCGCTGAGAAGGTCGCAGCGTACGCACAAACCTCCAGCATATTTAGCTGACTATGAGTGCAGCAATCTGGTTGAGGCTGCCTGTATATATAACTGTGAATGTATATCAAGCTGCGAATGTTTTGTCTTAACTTAGGGGGGAGGAATTGTTATGTACTGACAGCATAACATGAATCGCTTAATACACTTCCCATGTTAAGCTTCGAGCCAGCTAGGGCTCCGACGATACTGACAAACTATTGGTCGCTTCAAAACAGCGACCAATCATGGGAGAGCTGTTCCCTGAGCGGGAAGGACACTGATTCGCCTTTATCTATGCAATCTGATTGGTTGTTATGTAAATAGTAGGAGTGGCTATATTAGCCCGGTATGTTTAAAAGGAGCCCAGCTCCAATGTTTTACTGTTCTGATTCCTTAATGCGTTTGTGTGCTTGTTCGAATAAAGCTGAATCACTTGCTGAAATCACTCTACGGGTCTTTGTTAGCGCGATCTAACACATTCCTTTTCAGCTTCTGTAATGCTTGCTTATCTATGGCCTTGCAGGTGGTGTGTAGTGTCTGGGATTCTAGGAAACCGTGGGAGTGCTTTCGGTTCTCAGCTTCGGCTCTAACAGCCTGGGGCTCCTTCTCTCGTGCGCGGGAATGTGGATAATTGGCCTAAGGAAGGAGAAGTGCATAAGAATACCCTATATCCCATTATGCTTGTAGGGGCGACACCATTCTTAACAGTGTCTTTGTTAATGCATCTATAGCTCTTCAATAAAGTATAACCTTTCCATTAAGCGTGTACTCAGTTGTTGGCTGTGGAACCTGACAACAAGAGGAGGAGGGGCAAACTGTTTAAGCCATCTGTGTCATCCTGGTAAATGGGAAGTAGACTTTTGCCACATATCGATGCTGATGTCCATTAGTGGAAACTTCCTAGACAGACAGCTGATTTCACCCATTATGTTTGCCCTTCTGTACTAGGAGCTGCCAGCTTGCCTCCTGAAGATGAAAGGGTCAAAAGCAGGGAACAATGCAACCTCAGTGCCTCCCAAATTGCTCCTCCTCCAATAGCTTTGGCTACCTTTCTCCCCTGTGCAGCAAAGCTACATGCTAAAGCAGGTGGAGGAAAGAAGAAGCGTGTGATGCTTTGGCTGCCTTGTCTCCTGTTTCCTCATGACTTTAGAAGCTCTATGCAGCATGTCCAGATTTTGACCCTGATAATCCTGTTAATGCATGTGTTCAGAGCTGCTGTGCATGATGAAGTGCACCTGGCAAAATTGCCCCTTCTACCCAACTACATAAAGGGCATAGGAGACTTGAGAATTCTTAAACTTATTAGCTGCGTGGCCTTTTTTCTTTCTCCTGTAGCAGACAACTGAGTGACTAACACCTTAGCCTTACGAAGTGAAATGTGCCATGGGAACACACTTTTATTTCATGTCCATCTGTTGCGTGGAACTTATAACTACACTTCAGCATGTCTGGTGATTGGAAATTACAACAAAACCCCGCTTGTCACTGACTTGTACAAGAATTCCTCATGTCACTGCCAATTCGAATACTGCACTTACTAGTGTCTCCATTCGTTCTTGTTGTGTTGTACTCTTGCCCTCTAGTGGTCAATGGAAGGTAATGTTCACTGATGGGCTGGATTTGTTTTAGCTATTTCTTTATTAAGATATTTTGATTTAATTGTCTTGTGTCCCTCTGAGAAACTCAGGCAGTCTTACATGGGTCTCCCTACCCACCCCCATACCACACTGAGCCAGAAAGTGAACACATAAAGACAAGCTTTCATGATTATTTTTTTCTTGTTGTTCTTCATTTCATTTTTGAATAAGAACCAAATTATTTCCAAGGAAACAATGAATAAATTAAAATTCTTTAGAAATAGCAGAATAATCATTTCAATAAATACATGGTATTATATTTCAAATAATTACATAATATATTAAAACTATAATTAATAATTATATACACAGTATTAGTAAAGAGTCCTGATATTACAGTTCTAAGATTCAGTATGCATTCTTGATTGATGGCTGATCAGTATTCCTGACACGATAATCCCCTTTCCCCCCACACACAAATGTTACTCTGCTAGTGCTTGCTATGGCATGTCTGCGCAGCTCCTTTTCTTTCCCCCAGGGCCCTGCTGCTCTCATTCTTCACACCAGATTGCTGCAAACCAGCTGGCGTCCAGACACTTCCTGCCTCATCCCCCTGGGTAGTCCATATGATCTGCATGGCAGACTGGGGGACCAGCTGGATCAGCGTGGGTAGCCGGATTGCCAACTTTCAGGTAGCCCCTGGGGATCTCCTGGAACCACAACTGATATACAGACTACAGAGGTCAGTTCCTTATGAGAAAATGGCAGCTTCGGAGGGTGGACTCTATGGCACTGTACCCCACTGAGGCCCCTTCCCTTCCCAAAGCCTGCCTTCCCCCAAGCTCCCCCCCCCCCCAATTTCCTGGAATTTCCCAACCCAGAGTTGGCAACCCTAGTGGGTAGTACAGTCCTCACTGAGGAAAAATATACAAAAGCTCTATGCAATCTGTACCTTGCAGAGGGTAGAATATTATATCCAATGCTCCCTCTAAGCGGTGGAGTGAGCAAAAATCCTACTTTGTGAGCTACCGACATTAAAGCTGTGAGCGAGCGATTTGGCTGCTGCATAAATTAGTTTGCTCTGGAGCCATCTTTTCTGAGCTAAGACAAAAATGTATGACCTGGAGGCTAAAAAACTGTGAGCTAGCTCACACTAATTCGGCTTAGAGGGCACTGATTATATCATATAATTCTGATTTATTTATTTTTTTTTGTAATTAAACCAAACAGTGAGAAATTGTCATGGGTCACAACAAAATATGAAATGCTGAAAGGAGTGTAATGTAACCTACAACAGTTTTAGATCTAAAGCAGAAACATATATTATGGATAACTATTTGAGAATATATAGCAGACTTGTACTAGGTCAGACCACTGGTCTGTTCGGTTTGGTGTTCTGGCTGGTAGTAGCTCTCCGGAGTCTTGGGCCAGGGATAGCTGGTGCCTGGGACCCTTTGGCTAGAGACACCATAGTTTGAGCCTGGGACCTTCTACATGCAAGGCGGGTGTTCTACCAATTAGCCATTCCACAGCCCCCAATACTGAAAACTTTTTCCATTTGTTTTACTTTATGGATCCAACATATCCACAAAACTATATCACAGAATATAGTTCTGAATGAGAATACAAATATTATTCTTTTCAAAATGTGAGTTAACCTATTCCCTGTAACTCCACCACCTCCTGTGGCTGCTATTTACCAATCACAGATCTCTGAGCATCCTATCTAATATGGCACTCAGTGGAGCACAGTGACTAGAATGCCGGTCTTCCATCAGAAAACCTTGTCCTGCATCCCTGCTCTGATAGGAAACTCAAGCCTGATCTTTGCATCCAGTGGAAAGAAGTAGCAGATGCTGAGATGGTAGGAAGCACTTTATGTAGTCATGGATCTCCCATAATCCTATTACCTCACCCCCCCCACACACACACACTTCATTTTGATGCATATGTAGACCAACCTCACTTAGTGTCTTTGGGCAAGTTGCTATTTCTCAATCTAACCTACCTCACAGGGCTGCTGTTGGGATAAAATGCTGTTCCAGCCTCCTCACAGCATGCAAATACAATGAAAAATAATTACGCTTCAACTTTAACCTTTTGCCCTTGGCCCTTTTCCTACACCCATGGCATGACTCAAGGAAATCAGAACTTTTCCTACCTCTTTCTCATCATGCCATAAGAATTATTATATAACAATGTTATAGCCTTTTTAAAGTAGCTTTATCATAGGCAAAGGCATTCCTCATGGCTTTTGAAACTGGAATTTTGATGGAACAACCACAGGGAGTATCTCATCCCCCCCCCTCCACTATTTCCCCTATCCTTTTCCTGATAGCCTCTACAGCATTTATATTTCCTGAAAAACCCCTTTCCTGCTTCCTTCTCCTTCCCACCCACCAACCTATCTTAATCTACCCTGCCCCTGTCTTCAGCTTTCTCTGTCTCCCTCCACCTGACAGCCTATACCTGGGAAAAGTCTGGCCTTGTTGTGTAGTGCCAGCCCAGCTGCTGGGCTGGGCCGGGCCCAACTGCATGGTGCCAGCTGAGACTGGCCCAGTTGTGTGGTGGGGAACCTGCATGAGCTCGTGGGGGGCACCTTACTTTGCTCTGTGTTCCCCTCTACACATTATTTTCCTCCTGGCATATCCTCAGCTTTCCCTCTTTCCTTCTCTACTTCCCACTCACTTACCAACCTACATTTTATCTGCCCCACACATTTTCAGCTATATTTATAATTAATTTACTTCACCTATGTTGGAAAAGGCAATATCTGGAGTACAAAGGAGAGAAGAAGACCTTGAAGGGAGCAGCAAGAAGACAATTAGATAGGATGGTGAGGTCAGCACCTTCTCTCCTTTTAAGTGTTATTCCTTGTCTGTCCCCAGATTGCCACTCCTAGGGCAATTTCGTCCTTCTTCTTGGCAGTTCCAGACTTAGTCTCTGAAAAGTACTCGGAAACGTTGAGTGATTCAGCAAAGAGTACTTTATTAGATCAGGAACAAGACGAAGAACCCCGGCACGCAGACCGGTATATATACACAGAAACCCGCCACCAAAACAAACCCCTTAGTCACCTATAGGTCATTTACAGTGGCCGAGCGTCCCATTGGCTCTCGGCCGCGGACCTAGCCCTCTGGTTGGTGCGGGCCAGGATCCGCTCCGCTATTGTTCTGTGGGAACGAAGCTTTGGCCCGTGCTTGACCGCATGGCCCAATGGTCGCGCACGTGGTAATGGCGGATACATTACACCCCTCCCCCCATAGTCCAGACTACCCACACACAAAGTCCTGTAGGTACGTCGGGGGCTTCCGAGCCCTCGTGGAGTGGCGCGGCTCCGGGGCGCCGGTCGGGCTTGCCTTGGGAGCCCGTGGCAGAGAGGCAGGTGGTGGCGTTGGTGGTGGCAGCTCCGGGGGCTCCGAGGTGACCTGGACGGGAACGGAGGCTGGGATCTGACGTGCTGGCTCGGGGACTGACGCTTCATCTGGCTCGGTGGGCTCCAGGTCCACGGGATCGTCTGGGAGGACCCGGCGCCGCAGCTGGTCAATGTGGCGGTGGAGTAGTTGGCCATCCTCACAGGAGACCTCGTAGGATCGAGGTCCTCGCACCCGTACCACTCGCGCGGGAATCCAGGGTGGCCCCTGCGCGTAGTTCTTCGCATAGACT